CCTCCCTCCCTCTAAATCCTTCCTTCCTTTCTTCCTCCCCTCTCCCTTTCCCTTCCTTCCTCCCCTCCTCATCCTCCCCTAATCCGGAAAAGTTGGAAGAAAAGAAAAGTAAAGGCTGGGCGGAGGAGGAGGGGAAGTTTCAAAGGGGGCGGCGTTCCCTTTAAAAAGCCGCCCGCCACGCCGCGCTCCCTCGCAGCACTCGCGACGGCTGGCTTCTTGGCTCCCGGTCTCACCCAGGCTTCCCGCCTGTGATTGGCGAGCGAGAGACCTCAGCAGAAGCGGAGCAAGCAAAAGCGCGGAGGGGGGGCGGGCGGTGAAGGACGTTCAGCGGCGGCGGCAGCAGCAGCAGCAGCAGCAGCACCTCGAGCCTCGCTCCGAGCGCCGGCGGAAGCGGAGCCGAAAGAGAAGCCTCATCTCTGCGCCCGGCCCGGGGTGCTGGGGTGAAGTTACAAGCCGCCGTACCAACGAACCGAGGAGAGGGGAGGCCAAGGAAGGAAGCGGAGGCTGGCCGAGTCCCCCCGAAGGCTGCTCTTTGCACCCGGGAAGGAAGGGGAAAAGTGCAAAGTTGACGAGGTAGCCCGGAATTCAACGTTTTGCTGCCGCCCCAGGGGAGCCGAAGTCCCCCATCCGTGAGAGAGAGAGAGAGAGAGAAGCGGGGACGGGGGTTTGGTCGGCCTTGAGTCGGGGCACAGCCTGACCTCCTTCGCCCCGGGAGACTCGCTTCCTCTTCCCCTTCCCCTCCCGGGAGTCTTCCCGGCTTCCCGATCTTCTCCTTGCCTCCTCGCGAGCAGACATGTTTTCCAGCCAGTCCGGGCCTGGGAGCCGGGCGCCGGCCTCGCCTCCACTTTCCCCACACTCTCCATCAAGGCGGCGCCCTGGGAGCCTGGAGTGATGCGGACGTCGGAAAAGGTCGCCGGGCGAAAGCAGCGAAGCGGGATCGCCGCGTGTCCCCCACTCCTCCACCTCCTCCTCCTCTTGATCGTGCCCGGGTTCAAGCGATCGAGCCCCGCCGGGATGTTTTCTCCTCCGAAAAGCCAGCTGGGATTGCGGCGGACGAGACACGACTAGAGCCAAGCGGAGAGCTCCCGTCCCCCACCCCCGTCTCCCCCACCCCGCCCCCCGCCCCCCACCACCAAGCCCCGTAGTTCGGACGGGACAGCGTCGCGTCTGAAGGCGGCTTTGCCTGAAATCAAAGGAGACCGCTTCGAAGGGGCCGGCGGAAGAAGTGGACTCCGCTGCCTCGGTCACTCCTTCTCCCTCCAACGTCCCGTGCGCCTCCTTCGCCCCGCGGTCGGGACGCCCGATCCTCTCCCGCTGTCGGACCAGAACGCCGGGCCGGGGAAGAGGGGGGGCGGCGGCGGCGGCGGCGGCGGGGAGAGAGAGGCCGGGCCGGAGAGCCGAGGGGATCGCGGGACGCCGCTCGCTCGGCCAGGCGACTTCGATGTGGAGGCTGGCTCGATGGACGTGCCCGAGTGCGTTGCTGCTGTTGCTGCTTAGGCGATCGGTGGCATCCTAAAAGGTAGGGGCGGCGGAGGGGGGGATCGCGGGAGACGGGACGCGGTTGAAGGCAGCACCTGCCAAGGCTCTTCCGAGGGTCCGGTCCGCCTCAGCTCCTTCCCTCTTTTTCCAGTGACGTCTGTGGCCCTTCCTTGTCCCCTCCCGCCGCTCCTCCAAACCTTCCCCGAAGAAAGAAAGAAAGGGGCCAGCTCTCCTTTTTATTTCAGGTGATTGTAGGACAGCACAGGTTCCTCTCCACTCTTCCATTATCTTGGTCTATGCCTCTGTTCCCCCAGTTCTTGATAAGCCACATCAAGGGGTGGTTTCTTCCTCTCTCTGCCTGAAGCAGCCACTTTAAAGCACCCCAAGAGTTGGGGGTGAGGGGTGGGGGTCATGGTAGAGGATGCCTTTGAGCAATGCCCTGCACAATGGATGCTCCCCAAGCAGCGGTCCAGCATCCTCTTTGAACAACTTTCCCCAGCCTAGTGCATGCCAGAAGTTGATCTACAACTTGCCTCCTTTGCCAACTATCTGGAGAGCGACCAGGAGTTGATAGAAGCCACTCTAAGTTATTGCCCTGTGCTTTCTTCCCAAGATGAGCTTTCCAGCAAATGTCTGGGTTGAGCCCACTTCCCCAGCACCAGGTGTGTGTGTGTGGGGGGGGGGGGTTTCCTTTGTTTTCTTTACACATATCACCCCTTACCAATGATCCTGCCCATCCTCTTCATCAGATGCAGAAGGAGCGCTACTGTACCGTGGCAAATTGAAACCTTCCATTTCCTCTCAAATGTGCTTCCACTTGTGGATTGGGGTGTGCGTGCATGCGTGTGTGTGTGTGCGCGCGCGTGCTTGGTTTCCTCTGGGTTTGACACCAGGCCTTTTTCCTGCACATCTGAGTCTTGCCCTGTGCTTCCCTCTTCCTCCCTTTGCAAATCCTGTCCAATGAACTAATCCCTCTCGCTAGGCTGCAAATGGTTGCACCGGGATTAGTTACCTTGACTGAGTAAATACAAAGTGTTCAAACCCCTTCACTGGAGCTGAAGCAATTCATCTGTCTTTAAAACTGTATCGTAGATCGTAAAAATAACTCGTATAAACCCTTTGCTTTTTTAAGCAGAGTAAGTAACCCATTCACAAATGATGACTCACACAGATCCATTCAGTTTTCATTCACTGAATGAACCTAAGCACTCAACAATGTTACAGTAGACTAAATGCCATTACAGTCCAGAAGAGGGCGTGGAGAATGAAAAGAGTCATAGGGAAGAGACGAAGTTAGGTTGCCATGAAGACCTCACTAAATAATGGTTTACCTTTATCTCAAGAAGCAGAAGACACAGTAAGGATGAATATGCACCCTTAATTATCAAAACAGCGTCCCAATTATGCACACAGTTAGTTGCACATTTTAATGTACAGCTTATGCATTATGCATTCTTACTTTTAGGCTGGTTTATGCATGCTTAATTTTATGCTGTCTTTGCCACTTCAGCCTATAATCTGTATTTTAATCAGTAGGATCATGGTTTTCACTGGCATAAGTTGCCTATATCCAGTTCTTAGGGAATCAGCAAGTAGCTTTGCTGACTTCCCCTAAGAGTGATGGGAAGTTCCTCCTGCTAATTTTGTTTTACAACAGTTTAGAATCTTTCTCCATTAATAACGCTCAAGTTTACTTTAGTTACGAAGTGAGTTTCCCTTTTTATGGATTTTTCTCTTTAAATTCTACGCCTTGTTTTGCCTTCTGGTCTGTTGAGAAAGTAGCTTTTCCTTGGGTGGATCAAGCTACCGAGCCGCTTTCAGAGATAGCAGTCATACGTTATTGATTCCACCAAAGCCAGCAGCCCATCCAGGAGTGAGATTCAGCCAGTTCACACCACTTCAGGAGAACCGGTTGTTAACTTTCTGAGCAATTGGGTGAACTGGTTGTTGGAAGAAAATCTTTAGGGCAGAGAACCGGTTGTTAAATTATTTGAATCCCACCACTGAGTCCCATCGTATAGCCTCCCACTCCCAATCCTAAACCCGGGCACCTTTGAGTGGTTACCTGTTTCAGGAAGTTCTACTTCCTCAGCCCCAACATGTTATAAATATTTGGGGATTCCCCCCCCTCCCCCGTGTCCTAATCATTCCATGTCTCTTTAGTCTCAGAAGTGAACATCTGCTCTTGAGTAAGTTGGAAATCATGGTCTGGCTTTAGAAAACTCATTTTGCCAAATCTGGCAATTGGTTGGTTGCTCCCAAGACACACTGTGCCCGGGATTAACAGGGTGGGATCTTACTGCTAAGGCTAATGAGGGGCACCCCAATTTGTCATGAATGAAAGCAATGAATGAAAGTTTCTCGGGATAATGTTGCAGGATCCAATCTGGGTCGGTCACCCGGACCAGAGATTTAATCTTCTGACCTCCCGGATTCATGCTGGAGACCATCTTCACAGAACTCCTCTCTTCCCTGAAGATAGGTTCCCAGCACGAGTCTGGAAGCTCGGAAGACTCAACCTCTGGCCCTGGCGACCACCCAAGATTGGGCCCCGATTTGTGACCGCGGCCTTCGTCTCTCCCGCACCCCTCCAGCTTTCGACAGAGAGTTGAGTGGCACGTTGAGTGAGCCTTGGAAAGCCTCTGCTGTTAAACCTCAAATTCATCATATAGTTTAGGCAGAGAGTAGCCGCGGATGGGTGGGGAGGAGGAATGGAGATGTTTGGGACTATTTTCACCTCATGTGGCTTTTCCAGAGGAAGAAAGTTGAAGCTATTCTGAAGTCGAACAGAATATGGACTTACTAGAAGGACCTGTCTGTGGAATGTCACCTCTGTTTGGTCCTTCTGCGTGCTCCCCAAATACGGAGTAGATCATGTCCCCCTCCTTCCGTCGGAATCTAACTCCGTCTTTTGATTTTGTGCCTTGCCTATAGGTTGATGACCATGGTGGCCAGGACCTGCTGTCTACTAGTGCTGCTGCTTTATCACACACTGCTAGGGGGCTCTGCCAGCCTCATCCCCGAGGTGGGTGACCGGCGAAGGTTCAGTGCTGATTTGGGCCAGCCGGCTCCGCTGCAGCTTTCGGAAGAAATCCTGCGTGAATTTGAACTGCGTCTGCTCAATATGTTTGGGCTTAAGCGGCGGCCCACCCCGACCCAGAATGCTATTATCCCTTCCTATATGTTGGAGCTCTACCATCTGCACACGAGTCAGAAGCCAACTTCCATGGACTATAGTCTAGAGAAAGTGAGCAGCAGAGCCAATACTGTCAGGAGCTTTTATCACGAAGGTAAGGAAAACGAGTTATTTATCTGGCTCCCCAAACTTTGATAATCCGATCCAGTTCAAATTAAAATTGCTCTGACTTGAATATTTGCAACCTGGAGCTCTGGTTTGCTAAGGTATATTCTGGCAGCGTGGACACTTCTGATCTGTTGTTCGCTCACTTGCAGGGCAATACTTGCAATTTAAATAAGAGCTAGAGAGAGGGGGGGGAGAGGGAGGGAGGGAGGGAGGGAGAATATACACACACACATTTTCCTGATTGAGCATTGACCATCCTTGTGCCCTGCTATAATGGAATCAAACTGAATCTTTATTTTTTTTCTAGATTTAGACATGTTGAATTTGGCCAGTTTGAAAATGATCCATTTCAATGTAAAGCTTTTTTTAAAAAAAAAATCCATTTGCGCAAAAGAAACAAGAAATTATTAGAAAATGCAAGTAGGTGAAATGTAATTGTCCCTTTTGATATCACCTCCGATGAAACTTACTTCGTGTGTGGGTAGTACAGCTCTGCTTGAGCAGTTAATGAAATTAACTGGTATTCCAAAAGAGTGTTGGGGAATTTATAGCTTTCCAGATTGTGCTGAGTCACATTCCCACACTATAGGCTGGGACTTCTGGAAGTTGTAGTTCAGCAACAACTGTGGGGCCACTGCTTTCCGAAACGCCATCTGAAAACCAGTGCTAGAGCCTTAATAATGGGTTCATGGACATACCTCTTAGCTTTCTGTTTTCTGTATAACCTTCCAGTAGGAAACGCCAGCCTGAGTTGGTGTTGGACACTTTCAAGCATATAGACATCAATATGTTTAAATCAGCGTAGAGATAACTCTGGTTGCACCAGTTGTGCTCGGGCCCAAATTATGTGGCGAAAGTGGAATCTTATTGCCGCAGGGTTACAAAATTGCCTGTTGCCAATTTGAGTATCCTAAGTAGAAATCTTTGTAAAATATAATATCTGAACAGAGACGTGCTATATATCCTTCCCTACCATTCATAATAATAATCATCATTGTAGTTTGCTTGACAGTTAAAACCAGCATTCAGTTAGGTGTTCAAGAACTGACCTGTGGTGAATGCTTAAGCTGAGGCACCTGAAATTTCGGGATGATAGGAACTGCTGTCCCTTTTACAGACTAAATTCCTTGTTTTATCCTGCGTGTGGTAGGCTGGTATTGAGGGTGGTCAGTTTGCTTGCGCCGTGGTAGGAATTTCGATTTTGCTGAATTTTGCTCCAAGGGTGTATATAAATTAGTTGAGACAGCCTGGAGCAAAATTGGGGAGGAGTAGAAGGAAACCAGATTTTTCTCCCCTCTAAATGGCTAGACGTTTTTAGTAAAAATGAAAATTGTGTTTCATTAAACAGGTAGATAGCATAGTTTTCATACAAGTAATATACGGTAATTGTTATGGGCCTTTGCATGAATTTCCCTTTGAAATGATTTTATCTGATCCATAGTTGACAAAGAAGGTAGATTTCTTTTTATTTTCAAGCAGAGATTCTGTTCAAATTAGTTTCCACTGAAAACTGTTGGAGGCTAAGCAGTAAGAAAAGTCCTTCGAATATACAGTTGGCCGTAGGGTCACTTGGAAGGTTTTCTAATCCCTATCTAATCCCCGTGAGAGATCACTTTGACAATCAATTGTATTGTCTCCACTATGACTTTGTCTTCTGTTTAAATTTTGATTTAGTGTACCTAAGGGTAAGCCCTTTAGAAAACAAGATTGATAAGTTTTAGAGCAGCTGTCCCCGGATTTTATAGGCAACTAGGGCTTACTGAGATTAAAAGCCACAGGCAAATATACATTTACTAAAGGCAAAACAATTGTGAGTTAAGGCAATACTCTGCCTGTGCAGTCAGATAATTGGTAACAATGTCTTTTAGAACTAATCTGTTTTATTAAATTAAAGACACCTCGCCTGAAACGTTCTGCATATTGGGGTACATAAAACTTGAACAAACTTGTCCACAGCCCTAAGGTGTAAAATATCTTCATTTTACAAACAATTATTTCTTTTAGCTCCCTGCTCTGTTTATCTATCCAAACTTTCCTGTGTGGTCATACATCTCATTTCTCCTTTCTGTATGTGATTCTAGGCACAATGTATGCAATTTAGTCCAGATGCATATAAACAGCTATTTAATGCAATCTTCAAAGAATATAATCTAAGAAAAATATCGGATAGTAATAGCATGAGCAAAATATTAGTTATTTCCAATTTATAGCAAGGGTGGGGAAGGAAGTGGATCTAATTAAATTTACGGATCTTACAAAAACCACAGCAGTGGGCAAGGATTTCTAATAAACTTCTTAACCATGATAGCAACTCCCCACCACCATCTGACCTTAAAGGAGTGATGGGGTAACAAGGAACGTGGGGAGGGTTGATCTTAAGTTAGTTCTGGCACTCAAAGCTATTTTTTTAAATGGTAAGTGTATCTTCAAGATTTGTGGACAATCTTGGGGTTCTACATGAAACACAAGGTAGTTCCTGCAAGCCTGAAGTTTGCCCAACCCTAACCTGCAGGTTCCTTATTCACTTGATTTCATCCCACCCACACCTGTGCTAATGCAATACAGATACACCTGCAGAAGCTACTTATTTACTGTTTTCGGCAGCCATTACCAAATCAAAGACTATAAATGCACAGCTGTTCATTTGTACATTAGTGCCCTGGATTTACTATAAAAGTAAAGGAAAAAAAGCAGACTGAACAGGTTATAAAGCTAATATGGCCAACAACAAAAAAACCCTCACTCATACATATGTATTACAGGTTTAATTAAATTTCTGTACAAGGGGTGTGGCTATACTGATTATGCTAACTAATAGCAAGTCTTAATGCGGTAAGAGGTTAATGTTGTAATTTAACCTTGCACTGTGTTTACACTGCTTTGCGTATAAATATAAAACTAATTAATGGGAGAATGAATATTGCACCATCCACTTGTGCCAAATTGCATTTTAATGCACAGTTACACATCCACATGGTTCAGAGGGAAACTGATACATATTTCAGGCAGCAAATTTATCCACCTTTATCTGGGAATAAATCCATCTACGTAAATTCCATAGTATTTACTCCTGTGTGAGTGTATATACCTCATTTAATTACTACCACTCAACTAAGCCTTATTCCTGTGAATTTCATTATTTATCTTGAATTAAGCATGGGAAATCTGCTGACTTGGTTTTGAAATTTTCTAGTTCAAACGGACATTTCCAGCCTTTCCGAAGACATGGCTTTCCCCTTCTTTTCTTTTAGTTACGTGTATAGATGTCTAACTAAACCGTGCGGTTCATTGGCGTTCCTGCTAAAGCTCTCAGCTAAAAACTGTCTTGGATTGGCTTTTAATACTTAGTAACATCTGAAGGATTTTGTACCCCAGCCTTACTCTGGAGGGCCCCCCCGGGAGCGAGACTTTGCATTTGAAAAGTGGATTCGAATCTTCCACAGAGTTAATTGTCTTCTGCTGCCTATGTAAGATAGCAATTGTCCTTGGAGAACCCTGGTTTAGAAATGCACTCACTGCCCAGTGATTTTTGGAAGTCCATTCGTGACAGGTTTAGTTCACACAACCTCTCGGAATGGCTGATAGAAAGGTGGGAAAATGAAAGAGAAATACAATATAAACGTGCTTTAACAGCAACGTAGAAAGCCGTGTTTCTAAAGAGGGAAGGCAGAATAAAATAGTAAAGATCTAATTAAGGCAGGACAACCTAGGAAAAAGAAAAAGGATGCGACAAAATAGTTTCTGATATGCTTCTGTGGTATTGGAATACATACAGGTAGTCCTTGACTTATGACCACAAGTGAGCCCATAATTTCTGTTGTGAAAAGTGAGACATTAGTTAAGTGAATTTTTCCCCCTTTCACAACCTTTCTTGCCCCAGTTGACAAGCAAATCACTGCAGTTGTTACGTTAGTGACATGGTTGTTAAGTGGGTCCGGCTTCCCCATAGACTTCACTGGTCAGAAGCTCACCAAAGGGGATCACATGACCCCTGGATGCTGTAAACACCATAAATATGAGTCGGTTGCCAAGCAACTGAATTTTGATCACGTGACCTTGGGGATGTTGCAATGGTTGTAGGTGTGAAAAACAATCACAAGTCATTTATTTCAGTGCCGTTGTAACTTCAGACAGTCATTAAATAAACAGTTGTAAGTCAAGGACTACCCGTACTATTATTGGGAGGCTATTTTCTGGAATATCCTTCCCGTTTATGTTTCTAGGTCAGATTAGGAGAAATAACCAGAGATGTGTCTCTATGAAACATTTTATGCATGCACCTATGAAGATAAACACGTATATCAGGGGTCCCCAAACTTGGCAACTTTAAGACTTGTGGACTTCAACTCCCGGAATTCTGGGAGTTGAAGTCCACAAGTCTTAAAGTTGCCAAGTTTGGAAACCTCTGATGTATACGATGCTGTCTGCTCTTTAGAGAAAATCTAGACGTGGCTTCCTGCTCAACTGATGACGGTGGGTGGCAAAAGCTGTCGTGCCCTTGATCTGAATAGCCCCAATGATCTGTCCTTATGAGGAAATTTGGCTTCATTACCCTCCAATGTGGCAACCGGGGATCTCCTTCCACCCAGTCACATGCATCCACAATGAAGGATTGCCAACCGTCATCAACGTTCTGAGAAACGGCTGTCCTACAGCCGCCACGAAGGATCTTGGAGAGTCAATTTCTGCAGGATTGGCATTTTACTTTAAACGAAGAGCATCCTCGTTGCATTCAGCAGTGGCAAACCTCTCTGCATTGTTTCATTAGTTGGGGCAGACTCTCAGGGTATGAGATAAAACTTCAGTGGGGTGGGAAAATGCAGCATCAGACAGCACAATCCTATACAAATCGAGTGAAAAGTAAGCGCCGTAGAGCTTGGAGGATTTTGCATAGTTTACAATCCTCTAAATTCTTGAATTGTAGGTGGAAAGGGAACAGTAATTACACAGAACCAAAGTTAGGTTAGTGTATATTTTTTTTTAATAAAACGTTTTCACAGTCATTTATAGGACATTTAGATATACAGGAAAATAAGTTGCCCTGAGCACATATAGTAAGCTCACATTGACAACATACATAGGATGGAATTTTGGGGGACTTATAAGACAAAATAATAGGCTGTGAAGGTAACCCAGAGATTACAAGAGCATAGAAGGAGAGAGATAAACAGCAGATGTCTGTGGCCTGTTGTTCTGGTGACCCCTCCCTAGCCACTAGGTAAGAGCTGTTGCTCTGACGTGGCCAGGGTGGAAATGGGGAAGTAGAAGGAAGAGAAAGGAGTGAAGACTTAAGAATGAAAACCGGGGCAAAAAACTCCCCAGTTCTGCATGGCCAGACTTTGAGAAGGTTCTAATGGGGAATGTGGAAAATGTGCTTTCTATAAAAATTGGGAGGTCAAGCAGAGGTGGGTATTCAGCAGGTTCTGACCAGTTCTGGAGAACTGGCAGCGGAAATTTTGAGTAGTTGGGAGAACTGGCAAATACCACCGCTCACTGGCCCCTGCCCCCATCTATTCTCTGCCTCCCGAGTCCCAGCTGATCAACTGGGTTTTCTTTGGTTGCTCTGCACAGGAGAGCGGAGCTGGAAAGCAGGTTAGTGGGGTGGGGAGGGAATGGGGATTTTGCAGTATCCTTCCACTGCCACGTCCACCAAGCCATGCCCACAGAATCAGTAGTAAAAAATTTTTGAATCCCACCACTGAGGTCAAGGTTATTTGTTAAAAGGCAGGATGAGGAAACCCCAGGATTTCTGGGCAATGAGGTTTTAGGAGGTAAAGCTCGAAGATTTGAGGTGGGTGAAATCCACAGTCTAAAGCTCCTTTCAGAGGGTTGGCAACTTTAAAAGTGCCTACAGGAAAGTAAACCTACCTAGCTTGGAAAGACTTAATTTCTTGAGGCAGAACTCCAAAGTCCTATAGTAGATTCTGCTTTGGAAATACATCTTTATATTACCATTCAGACATTAGCAAGTCCGCCTTTAATCCACCTGCACCTTCTACCTCTCATGATCCCTCCTGAAACAAGTGTTTCATCCTGTGATGCAGAAAGTCAAGAGCTTTTAAATATTGCAATATGTACCAGCAGGCACGGGGCATTGATACAAAGGGTATAGTGATCAACAAACTAAGAATCAACAGCAGACTTCAAACTAACTAAAACAACTAAAGTAAGCTGGAAAACATGTGCCGCTTGTCCCTGCTTATCTTTTCTGCCATGTAAATGCATGTTTCTTTTGAAATGGCATTGCATGGCCCCAAGCTGTGATTCTTTCAGGCATTGGAGAAGGAGGAATTTTTGAACGATGGCCACCTTGCCATAGCTACATTAGTAACACTAACGTTTATTTCGTCTAAAATCTAAAAACAAAAATGTAAAGGATTGGCATAATAATAGAGCTATCTAAATCAGAGGTCTCCAAACTTGGCAACTTTAAGACTTCTGCACTTCAACTCCCAGAATTCTCCAGCCAGCTATGCTATGCTGGCTGGAGAATTCTGCGAGTTGGAAGTCCACAAGTCTTAAAATTGCCAAGTTTTGGGGACCCCTGATTTAAATCATGAGTGTCCAATCTTTTGGCTTGTCTGGGCCGCAGTGAGTGGAATTGTCTTGGGCCAGATATAAAATATATAATATAGTTAATGTATATAAAACACATAATGCTAAAAGTTTATGATCCTATGGGGCCACCTTACTAGCTGTCCAGGTGGCATGTGGCCCCTGGCTTGTAGGTTGGACATGCCTGATCCAAATAGTATATTTTATGCAGAGGCTCACAAAAAAACAACAACAACAGTATACTGCATTCAACCACACAAGTTGACCTCACTTAATATCTTGTCCCAAGTGAGTGGAGAAGGAGCCAAGTTTTTAAGGCATTCCTAAAGGCTAACAAGATCAAGGCCATCCATATCTCTGGAGATATATTGCTCCTGAGAAAGCATATCACCTGAGCTCCATTAGATGATCCAGCTTTACAGAAGGGAACTAGTGCATTCCATTCTGCTGGGTCTGATGAGAGACAAACAGAAACAATTGAGATAAGCAGTCGTGCAAAACCATGTGCCTTTGCCTTGTAGGGTTTCAAAGATGACAACTAGCATCTTGAATTGTACCCAGAAGCCTACTGAGAAACAATGCATTTCATGGAGTGGAGGTATTACATGAGCATATATCACAAGGGGCCCAGATTGTGACATTCTATTGTTGCTGAGAATTCCAAATGAATTCCTTGGGATAAAGAATTGGCGCTAGGCAGGGGTGGGTTTCTACCGGTTCTGTCCACCTCTGTAGAACCGGTAGCTCTGAAGAGCAGTGGACATAGAACCGGTTCTATGTCTGCTGATGTTTTTGCCCACCCGCCCACCTGGGATCTTACCTGACCTTTATTTCCTGATTTTTTCAACTTCAGCTGCCGAACGAGGCTCAGCTGCAGTTAAAAAAACAAGAAAAGAGGGCTGTTTCAAAGGCTGCTTCTCTGCAGCAGCTTGCTAATGACGATTTATAGGCTCACGGCTCACAGCGGGCAGGGAAGCTCGTAAATCCCGAACCGGTAGTTAACCCTGTAGTATTCCACCCCTGGCGCTATGCCTAGCTGAGCCATAGCTATAACATTTATGCCTCTGTTATTTAAAAAAGTGCCAGACCCAAGCTTAATTGTCCTTAGAGTCAACCTGCTGAAGTCCATGATACTTTGGCTAATCTTAAATAACTTAAATCCCATTACGTTCAGTACAGTAGGTCTGTTTGAAGCAAAACTGTTCACCTAGCCCAGTGTGTTTTGGTTTTGCTGTTGTATAATTCCTTGATTGGCCTGGGCATACTTGCTTCCAGCCTAAACTAGAGATGTTGAGGGGAATGATAATTATGGAATTAGTATTTATGGAAACACTAATGATCTCTGCCTTTAAAAAAATCTCATGTTCAGAATTTCAGTGAAAGAAATCAATTGGAAGTTTAATGTTTTAATGCTGGTTAGGTTAAAGATCAGGTAAAGGTTAAACGATTGTACAGCAATTCATTTTTTGAGTTGAAATTTTAAAGTAAGTAAAACCTACTCTATAAAATATTTAAGCATGCTTTATTCAGTTTCAAACCCAACCTTTGATTTCATCTCCCACGTGAGTTCTGTTTTCCTTTCTATATATGAATACGGCTATCTAACCTATGTCTGTTTCTCTTCTTCGTGCCCTCTTTTTCTTGGCACTCCATCTTTTTAGTTTACTCCCCCTTAAAAAAAAAAAAAAAACCACAAGAAAATATGGTTTAGGTTTTAGGCTTGCTTTGTTTCACTTGTATTTGAGATTTAGATTCCAGCCAGCACAGCCAAACTAACAAGTCAGATGACCTGAATTCAGATTTTTGTTTATCTATGAAAATACGGATGAGGAATATATTGAGACGATAGATAAGACTTCTGTTCCACTTGCTTGAAATTATAAGAGCCGCCCTCCCAAATCATTTGGAAAGACCTGGGTTGGAGTACACAGGAGGAAATGGCACATTGTACACATTGGGAGTCAAAAACTTTCTCAAAACAATTGCACGGTACTCCTAAAGGCTTTTTAACCACTGAAGCATGAAGTCCTATGTGCCCCCCAGCTCACAGTCAAAAGTAAGCAAATAGTAGACGGGCAGCCACATGGCTTGATAGACTTGCCTGGCTTGGTAAACACCGGATGCATCTGTTGCAATGAACGTTCACAACGCTTTCCTTGGACCTTTGCGTGGGTTTAGTGGACAGAAGGGTTTGGTCACTGTAGGTTTTCCCCCAAGTGAATGCCTAAATTCATCCAAACACTTTTCATTCAGGGCCCTCTTGAGTCAAATCACTGGGTGTGCTTTGCAAAGTTGCCTGTAATTAAGATAACATCTTTTTTGGATGGTAAGGTTTGTAAATTATGAAACTTGTAGCATAATGCTTTTGGAACCGTTTGGGGGAGACTGACATGAAAGCTGCAGCTGGGTGGTTTTTTGTTTTTTTTTAAAGAAATCTCAGAAATGCAATCCCTTTGCTTGATCCTTAGTCACTTTTTAATTACTCTCACAGGGCCCCTGCTAACCACCGTGTTAGAAAAAAAAAAATCTTTAATGCCCTTGAATTCCAGAGCAATGCCTCACATTTCTTTCCCCTTATTACGACCACCTGGAATTCAGAATGCAATCCGTTGGGATTGAAAGGCAGGACAGCAACCAGAGCCAATATGAAGCTTCATGAAAGTGATAAGTAGAAAGACAAGGGGCAGATTCTGGGCCTAACTGTGCATTGGTTTATGCAAAGGTGATTTGAACGTTTCCGTTCAGCAACTCAGGCATTCTGCTGCAGGGTTTAAATTGCTGATTGCCCTTTTGCTTTTCTCCTCCTTCAATCAGAAACCCTGGAAGAGCTTCCAGAAAGAAGCGGGAAGACATCTCGGCGTTTCTTCTTTAACTTAACATCTATCCCTGACGGGGAGATGATCACTTCAGCTGAACTTCAGATTTTTCGGGAGCACATCCTAGATGCCGCTGAACACGACGGCAGTTCTCATCACCGAATTAATATTTATGAAATCCTCAAACCAGAACGAGAGACTACCAAGGAGCCTGTCATAAGCCTCCTGGACACCCGCTTGGTTCATCACAACGCCAGCAAATGGGAAACATTTGATGTCACGCCAGCTGTAATGAGATGGATTGCGCTTGGGCAACCTAACCTTGGTTTTGTGGCAGAAGTGGTACATTTGAACAATGCCAGCAACCTCTCCAAGAGACATGTCAGGATCAGCAGGTCATTGCATCAAGATGATGCTAGCTGGTCTCGGATTAGACCCTTACTGGTCACTTTTGGGCATGACGGCATGGGCCACCCGCTCCATAAGAGAGAGAAGCGTCAGGCCAAACATAAACAACACCGCAGGCGCCATAAATCCAACTGTAGAAGGCATCCTTTATATGTGGATTTCAATGATGTAGGGTGGAATGACTGGATCGTGGCCCCTCCAGGTTACAGTGCCTTCTATTGCCATGGAGAGTGTCCCTTCCCACTGGCAGATCATCTGAATTCCACCAACCATGCCATTGTTCAGACGCTGGTCAATTCTGTGAACTCCAAAATTCCCAAAGCTTGCTGCGTGCCGACAGAACTAAGTCCCATTTCGATGCTGTATCTTGACGAGAATGAAAAGGTGGTACTAAAGAACTATCAGGACATGGTTGTGGAAGGATGTGGGTGCCGCTGAGGCAGCAGCAGCTGCAGCAAAATTAAAGAGACAAATGGAACAGAAAAAAAAAAAATACACACACACACAACTTGACACTTTAATATTTCCCAATGAAGACCTTATTTATGTTATGATATGGAGAATTAAACACATCTATTTTGAAAATCTATTTATGTCTACAGAAAAAAAAGCGAGGAAAGATATTTTAATCAGAGAGTTATTCCTTTTAAAGATTTTAAAACATATTTTAGTTGTACATTTTATATGGGTTTAACCCTTCCCCCACCCTTCCCACAGCACATGAAGTATAAAGGTCAGATTCTTATTTTGTATTTATTTACTATTATAACCACTTTTTAGAAGAATAGCTAATTTGTATTTATATGTGTAATCCAAAACCAGCAGCAGCAGAAAAAAAAAAACACAATATATAGGGTTTTTTTTGTACATAATTTAAAGTGAATGGTAGCTGTTTTCAGTTGTTGTGTATTTAAGTTGAAATGCAGAAGGGCTGTTATGGCAAAGTTGCATATATCCCATTTTGCTTTTTTGCAGTTCTACTGTTAAGGTCACAAGTGTAAACCCAATGAAAAAGGGCTAATCCATCCTGCTGACTCAAGATTATATTGTACAATTCTCAGGAATGCTGCAGGGTGGGCTGTCCATGCCGTGAGAAACTACCATGCTCTCATAGAACCAGGCTTTGCCCAGCAAAGGACAACTGTCCCTGCACGAAGCCCCAGCAGGGCTGCTAGGAAACATCTCTGTCCCTTCGCTTCTTCTCAGCACCTACCGAAAAGCAAGATGTTGATGCTGTTCCTCCTCTTTTGGAATCCATTGTCCTGGCCAAATACTTAATAAAAGACCAGATTTCCTCTGTTTTCTAAAGCTTCTTCCTATTTGCCTTTCCTAAGATGGAGTGTTTTGTTATAGAGCCTCAGAGGGCTGGAACAGGGGAGGGAAACCAAGCTTATTGTTCCTACTTGGGAAGCAAAAGGTGTGTAACGCAGCACGGTATCTCAGTGAGGAGAAGCCACATCCACAGGGGGACACACTGGTACTGAAACATAATGTTCATAAATCTCTTGAAAGAGAGATGAAGGTTCCCTTAGATCACTGATGGTGAACCTTTTTGTTGTGGTGTGCCAAAAGCGCACACAGGCGCGATAGACGGAAATACCGGAAGTGCTGAAGCCGGCCCATTTCTTGGCCTCCAAGGGCTGCAGAGGCTTCCCTCGAACCCCCAGGAAGCCAAAAAAAGGCCTCAGACGGGCTGAAAATCAGCTGGGAGTTGCGCGCATGCACAATGCAGGTACATTTGGCTGGGTCTTGCGTGCCCGCACAAATGGCTCCGTGTGCCACCTGTGGCAGACATGCCATGGGTTTGCCATCACGCCCTTAGATCTTTCCCCACTTTCAGTATAGATTGGTCTGCATGTTACATTCATATCCCACTGCAGTCCAGTTAAGGACTTTTAATGGTTTGCAAATATATAACATAATAACAGAGTTGGAAGGGACCTTGGAGGTCTTCTAGTCCAACTCCCCACTCAGGCAGGAAACCCTATACTATTTCAAAAAAATGGTTGTCCAATCTCTTCTTAAAAACTTTCAGCGTTAGAGCATTCACAATTTCTGAGGCAAGTTGTTCTGCTGGTTAATTGTTCTGTCAGGAATTTTCTCCGTTCTAGGTTGCTTTTCTTCTTGATTAGTTTCCATCCATTGCTTCTTGTCCTGCCTTCAGAAATTTTGGAGACTAGGTTGACAAACACCCCCCCCCCCCCGCTTTCTTGGTGGCAACCTCTTAGATATTGGAACACTGCTGTCATGTCACTCACAGTACATTTCAAATGTCCATGATAAAAAAAAACACACACTAAAAACTGTGGACACTAGCCCAAGTCAATTGGTGATCGATCTCAGCAGTTTCATTTAGCTATTAAATGGAGGGGCGGGGGGGCAGAGTACACCTTCATGTAGCCCACACAGAAGCTGTTACAGTGTGGATTGCTGCTAGTACCACCAACTGAAACTGGCTTCTGAGGAAAGTGCAGGCCCAGGGCTCTCTAGGGCCCCTAACCTGCACAGACAGTCCGTAATTGATGGTATCAAAGGCCAGGATGGATGTACTTTTGTCCAGGTCACTGGAATGGTCATCCTTTGGTGTAATTGTCATCTCTGTTCCTTGTTTGGGTCCGAACCCTGATGGGAAACAATCCAGATTATTGCTTTCCTGTCTTGTCTTAACAAACTTTTCTAAAAAGGCTGATTTGGAAACTGGGTGGTAGTTAACTAATCTCACTGGATCCTTGTGGGCCCCTTGAGGACTGGGGGCAGAAGCATCTCAGCCTCCTTCAAGTTTGCCAGATAACACACACACACATACAGACACACAGACACACACAGACACACACTTCTTCAATGAGACATTGATCACTTTGCAGATACAGGTAACTCTTCCCTGGCCATCCATAGGAACTCAGAAGAGCTAGGATTCAGCCTATGGGAGGCGGAGAATGTGCTGGAAAACATCCTATCCATTTCCTCAGATGGGACAGGCCCCAGAGACGTTCCAGGTAACCTGACAATACAGCATCCCAGTCTTCTTCCTGGACAATGGCCATGCAGAATCAACAAGGAGAGCAACTCTTAAGTGATTTGGTCAGCAAAATGTTGGGCTATCAGTCACAGCAGATAGGCAAGTGCTGTTGATAAATCCTAAAAGCGAATATACCATCCACAACAAGGCTCCTGGATGACAAGTTGCAAATATAATAGAAGAAGCGGGATAAAGTTCCTTTATCACCACAGCTCAGGACCAAATATCAGAAAACAGATATTTGGATATTTGCTCATAAACATATTCTCAATGATATTTCAGTCTGGCCTTCTCCAAACTCAATTTTAGTTGCATTCGAATCATATTGTCTCATGCAGAAGGAAACAGCCATTTTAAATGTATTTACACATTTCCTTCGTTAATAGCCTTCCTTACTTATACAGAGGTTGACAGTATTCATGGTTATTCTTTTATTCTCACAACCTGACAAAGTAGGTAAGACGAGATGCTCCTGATCAAGCTCCCTGATTGAGTAGGAATTTCTCAATTTTTATTTATATTTTGTTAAAACCTGGGTTGACTTAATATAAAATATTGTGACAAAAATTGCAAATCCAGCTTGCAAAACATAAGACAGAGATAAGATTTATGCGGTGCATTTCTATTGCAGTATATGTAGTGTCCATAGTTTTTCTTACAAAAATTCAGCTGGCTGTGCTCCTGAGTGCAATATTGGCAACATTAATAGCTTTGCTTTGAATTTGCCATATTTTTGCCTATCCTGAGCCTATCAATGATGTCACCTTATATCAGGAAGAGGCCATTAAAATATACACCCACCCAAATCAGTCTCTTGTTTGCAGCTACTGCTATGCAAGCATAAATCAGCCTTTATTTTAAAAAGTAGGATAGGTAGAAGAAAAACTGAGAACAATCCCTTTCACTGCTTATCCATTCTTGAGATCTCCGATAAGTGATGCTACTTCACCTGAACAATAATTTCCCGCTGTGTCTTCTCATATTCTTTGATTTGCAACGTGCAGCTTTATAGAATCAGCGAATTTGCTGCCATATTATAAAGGATAGAAATCATGTTTGCAGTGATACAAGTGCATGGCAACTTCAAGCTTGGTAAAAAGCAACTGATGTAAATATCAAGATATGTGATACAGATACAGTAGGCTCAGTCACCACTTTTAATGTAGCAGTGAGCTGGTAACCACTTACAAACTGTATTTTCCAACTTGCATTTGTGAAACAAGTTTGTAGCATTCCTCTTGTCATCCAGTTCTGCTAACAAATTTCTTCATATGCTTTTGCTTTTGGGAAATTATTTAAGCTCCAAATACAAGAATTGCTCCTTTATAACCTTTGCTGAAAAGGCAGCTAATCTGGGTTACAGGTTCTCAACATGAATCAGAAGAGATTAATTGCTGATCTGATGTTTATTTTAAAGTGTTAATTGCTAAGAAACTGCTAGTAATTATTTGCAACATTTGGCGTTCATCCTTCAGTGCCTTTCTTTTAGGCTGATGTTAAGCTTTGCTTCCAAATGCCCATTATAAAAACTTTGCACACAGTTGCCACAGAATTTCAGGAACGGTTTTACACTTCCTAGCAATGTTGGTCTGGTTTAATAGTTTGTTTTCATTGCTTACTAGTATAAACCTTTCTGATCCTACATATATTTTTCATTACTCATTCACTGCTTTTCGGATTCTGCCAATGAAGTAGCTTTATTTTAGCTATGTGCAAACACTCCAGACATTCGCAGGACAAAATGCTTTTCAATTCACATTCTTCTTTGTCTTTTTGTACCATTTTCTGTTTTTGAAGTGGTTGCATGGCAGCAGAATACAGTATTGTAGTATATTATACAACCACATAGATGAGTCGAATAAAAAGTCAAAGGATGCAGTTGTTTAGATAAAATGAATAGCTTTTTATGCTTCTGAACTAGCTTGTAAGTAGATAATTGAAACCAAATTAAAAGAGGTTTCACTCCAAAGATGTAGGAGAGCAAAATGGGTATTCTATTTTTAGAATTGCAATATAACCACTATTGCTATTGACAATAACATCTCTCTCTCTCTCTCTCTCTCATCTATCTATAACATACATACATACATACATACATACATACATATATATA